AAAAAGTATTCTCGTCGCTGATCGGTGTGCTCGGCGTGATCCGATAAGGAGGAGACTGAAATTTGGCACTTCTCCATTCCAGTGCTGTGATTGGCTGCTGGATTTAGAGGGACTCATTTGCATAAAGCACACAGAAGTCTTTAAAGTGTCTTTAAAGTTTAACCAATGCATTTTTCACTTTCCAAACCAGCACCAGAATACTTTTGGCAATATTCTAAACAAATAGAGTCCTAACAATTTAGGCATTCATTCATTTGAACATTAACAGCTGAAATGGTTTAAGATGTTGCATTACAAACAGCTGGCGATGAGAATCCTTATTTATCTGAATAAGTATGAAATGGATGCGTGTTGTTTACATCAGTTTTGAGGGTACACTATTCAGTTTTTCGCCGCTAGGGGTCGCTAACCTCTTCAAAACAATAACACAAAGGCGTAGATTGATGACGCAGTGAATGATCGGAATCATGGAACTTTTAGTCATGCCGATGGATCAGCGCCACACGCGAGCTCCAGGGATATAAATGACATTTCCTTCTGGATTACCCGCAAGTGCTGACGTCTCTGAGGAACTGGGTTGTAGAATATCCAGACAGTAGAATGGAACAACATACTGTATAGAAAACTTAGCTGTAACAAATAATGGACTGTTGTGCAGACGAGGCCGTAAAAGCCTTTCTCCTAGTATGAGGTTACGCACCGCTGTGTGGGAGTGGCAGGGTTAAAACCTTTCTCCAAGATCAACAGTTACCTTTCCCTCTTATACCCTGAGCAAAGCATTGTTAAACATGAGTGGAATACCAAAAACAAACCCGACCGACAGGAAACCGAAAGATGAGGCAGATGGGTGGTGATCAAGAGGGGGAGAAGAACATTAACATATTCTCCTCAAGGCATGTGTAAGCAATACTAAGATTGTACATTAGGATACTTTAATATAATATCTCTAATAAGTTTACCACCGTTCAGTTCAGTTTATAAGCTGTCAGATGAGATCAAACATGGCATAGTTACATATTAGAACACTACCAAATAAACAGTATGTAGTTGGAAACATTTGTCCTGTGAAGTAAATAATACAGACGTGTCATTGAGGTGCAAACGACTCTTTCTCTCCCGACAGAACTATCCTGTGACTGGAGTGTCTCAACAGTCCTCGATCAGCATAGTGATGAAACCCTTGCACTAGATAAGCATTAGCATACTGTAATGATGAAGGCCATTGTGCCACGTTTAATTTACATGTATACCTTTAAAGGGATTTCGGAAGTACTAGGGCAGTAAAGAGTTCTGCCCATATTTGCTCAGCACTACAAATCCCTCCTCTGGTACATTGGACCTCAGGAATTATGTGAGGTACATTTGTGACCTTAAAATTTAGGGCTGAGTGCATTGAAGAAGTGTCTCCATTGGCATAGTAGCACAGAGTAATGATGATAATTGTCAAGGATGCTAAGAAGATACACACACAGAACACCAACTCCCATCAGGTGTAGGCTTAGTCAGATGCAAAACAATGTGGACACACTTGTCAGGAACTCTGTCCATATAGCAAGGTTTATGTCCATCGTTGGCTTTGGCAAGCCGAGCAAGATCTCAAGTGTCTGTGGTGGTCTGTTCCTCCTCATGGCATCTTCAACTCTGCTGTTCATGTCCCACAGAAACAAGATCTCTAGTGTCTGTGGTGGTCTGTTCCTCCTCATGGCATCTTCAACTCTCTGCTGTTCATGTCCCACAGTAACAAGATCTCTAGTGTCTGTGGTGGTCTGTTCCTCCTCATGGCATCTTCAACTCTCTGCTGTTCATGTCCCACAGGAACAAGACCTCTAGTGTCTGTGGTGGTCTGTTCCTCCTCATGGCATCTTCAACTCTCTGCTGTTCACGTCCCACAGAAACAAGATCTCAAGTGTCTGTGGTGGTCTGTTCCTCCTCATGGCATCTTCAACTCTCTGCTGTTCATGTCCCACAGGAACAAGATCTCTAGTGTCTGCGGTGGTCTGTTCCTCCTCATGGCATCTTAAACTGTTTGCTGTTCATGTCCCACAGGAACAAGATCTCTAGTGTCTGTGGTGGTCTGTTCATCCTCATGGGATCTTCAACTCTCTGCTGTTCATGTCCCACAGGAACAAGATCTCTAGTGTCTGTGGTAGTCTGTTCATCCTCATGGGATCTTCAACTCTGTTCATGTCCCACAGGAACAAGATCTCTAGTGTCTGTGGTGGTCTATTCATCCTCATGGCATCTTCAACTCTTTGCTGTTCGTGTCCCACAGAAACAAGATCTATAGTGTCTGTTGTGGTCTGTTCCTCCTCACGGCATCTTCAACTCTCTGCTGTTCATGTCCCACAGGAACAAGATCTCTAGTGTCTGTGGTAGTCTGTTCATCCTCATGGCATCTTCAACTCTGTTCATGTCCCACAGGAACAAGATCTCTAGTGTCTGTGGTAGTCTGTTCATCCTCATGGCATCTTCAACTCTGTTCATGTCCCACAGGAACAAGATCTCTAGTGTCTGTGGTGGTCTGTTCCTCCTCATGGCATATTCAACTCTCTGCTGTTCATGTCCCACAGGAACAAGATCTCTAGTGTCTGTGGTAGTCTGTTCATCCTCATGGCATCTTCAACTCTGTTTATGTCCCACAGGAACAAGATCTCTAGTGTCTGTGGTGGTCTGTTCCTCATCATGGCATCTTCAACTCTCTGCTGTTCATGTCCCACAGGAACAAGATCTCTAGTGTCTGTGGTGGTCTGTTCCTCCTCATGGCATATTCAACTCTCTGCTGTTCATCTCCCAAAGGAACAAGATCTCTAGTGTCTGTGGTGGTCTGTTCCTCCTCATGGCATATTCAACTCTCTGCTGTTCATGTCCCACAGGAACAAGATCTCTAGTGTCTGTGGTGGTCTGTTCCTCCTCATGGCATCTTCAACTCTCTGCTGTTCATGTCCCACAGAAACAAGATCTCTAGTGTCTGTGGTGGTCTGTTCCTCCTCATGGCATCTTCAACTCTCTGCTGTTCATGTCCCACAGAAACAAGATCTCTAGTGTCTGTGGTGGTCTGTTCCTCCTCATGGCATCTTCAACTCTCTGCTGTTCATGTCCCACAGGAACAAGATCTCTAGGGTCTGTGGTGGTCTGTTCCTCCTCATGGCATCTTCAACTCTCTGCTGTTCATGTCCCACAGGAACAAGATCTCTAGTGTCTGCGGTGGTCTGTTCCTCCTCATGGCATCTTAAACTGTTTGCTGTTCATGTCCCACAGGAACAAGATCTCTAGTGTCTGTGGTGGTCTGTTCCTCCTCATGGCATCTTCAACTCTCTGCTGTTCATGTCCCACAGGAACAAGATCTCTAGTGTCTGCGGTGGTCTGTTCCTCCTCATGGCATCTTAAACTGTTTGCTGTTCATGTCCCACAGGAACAAGATCTCTAGTGTCTGCGGTGGTCTGTTCCTCCTCATGGCATCTTCAACTCTTTGCTGTTCCTTCTCATCTGCAAACCAAGTATAAAAAGGTTAAAACTTTTAAGGGAGTATCAACATGTAGTAGTTAAGTTGTAACCGTGCGTTCACACCAGACGCGAATAGCGCGTCAAATTTGCGCCTACCGTGTCTAGTTATACGCTTGAACACTTTGAATCCATTCGCTTATCAAGAGCGAAAGAGCATGTCGGAATCGAAACTCATTGGTGGCCATCTTTTTTATGTTGATCGAGCATTCATCGAGAGAGTCACCGCTCTGTATTTGCTCTAGAGAGCAGAACAGCGGCGTAGGGATCATCGTCGCCGTATTTGTGACCACCAGACCCTTCGGAGATGAACCCAGTTTGCCGAGTTCCACCATTTGCTCGCTCCAGGAGCTACGCCTGGATGACGGCCTTTCAGCGGTACTTCCGCCTGTCCCGCGGCCAGTTTGATGACCTGTTGTCCCGCATCGGAGCGACGATCACCCTCGCCCTCATCCACCTAATCTGTCATTTATTTTAGTTTTGATGATAAATTGAGCCAGCCTCCAAAAGTGATTAATCTGTCCTTTGATTTTTCTCACACACTCTCCAGACACGAACTTATGCACTATAGTTTATTGGTTGTCTTTACATTAGATATGGAATAAATAGCATTCAATACACAATGAATTTGTCTCATATATTGAAATCAAGTTTTATGTGATAAAATATTTGCTTTGTTTTGCATTAGAACCACGCAGGCATTTAGTCATATTACAAAATAATTTATTGAAGCATCCAGATACAGCAGCTAGGCTCCTGATGCGCTCGTGGCGCAAATTGATGCCAAAGTTCCGATTTTTCAACTCGGGCGGCAGACACGAATTCGTGTCAAACGCGTGAATACACAAAAAGCACTAATAAAATAATTTGCGCATAACGTGCCAGACGCTCAACTCGCGCGAACTTGACTCACGACTGAGGCATATTTGCATCTACCGCGCCGCGCTCTACGCCTCATTCGCGCCGCAGGAATTTAACACGCGTAACACATCTTTGCATCGACTTGAAATCACTTGCGCCAGAACGCTCTATTCGTGCCATGGATATGGTGTCAAAAAGAAAAGTTTAAGAATCTCTAGTACTGTTTTTTGAAAAATAAATAAATTGCCTTAAAGAAAATCAACAGGTGTTGTTGTTGGAGTTGAGCTGATAACAAATTGCCAAATATCTTTTTTTTTCGGGCTGAAATGCATGTTTTAGGTCGCAAGATATGACAATTTACTCTCAGTCTAGAGCCCTGTATAGTGTTTTATTTCTGCTTTAACATGAGCACCACAAGAGAGTGAACTTTTTTCTCTTTTTTTGCATTGATCTGAACTGACAAATTACACATTCCTGTTGGTTGAACAAGAGTTTATAGATATCAATTAATCAACAGTGTCCTGTGCTCACCACACACCGGCTTTAGAGGGAGAGGAGAGATTTGGCTATAGGTTGATGTGTGGCTAACTTACACAGAAGAGACTTCGTTGCTCAGCACATGAAAATAAACTACTTACCGTGATCTCAGACTGTGTTTAAGTGGTTTCTCCACTGTATGGATCTTCATGTGTAGCTTCAGGTGACTTTTAATAGAGAAACTCTTCCCGCACTGATCACACGTGTGTGGCTTCTCTCTGCTGTGGATCCTCTCATGTGATCTCAGATTTGCTGATTGACTGAATCTCTTGTCACAGTGTGAACACTTGTAAGGTTTTTCTCCAGTGTGGATCCTCTCATGTGTTTTCAGATTTGCTGATTGACTGAATCTCTTGTCACAGTGTGAACACTTGTGAGGTTTTTCTCCAGTGTGAATCCTCTCATGTTTTTTCAGAGATGATGACAGACAGAATCTCTTGTCACAGTGTGAACACTTGTAAGGTTGTTCTCCAGTGTGGATCCTCTCATGTGTTTTCAGAGATGATGACAGACTGAATCTCTCATCACAGTGTGAACACTTGTAAGGTTTTTCTCCAGTGTGATTTCTCTGGTGCCGTTTTAAATGTCTTGCTGTAGTAAAAGTCTTCTCACACTCAAAGCACATGTAGTCTCTAACACCAGTGTGAATTATCTGGTGCTGTTTTAAATTGTCCGCTGTAGTAAAGGTCTTCTCACACTCAAAGCACACATACTCTCTCACACCAGTGTGAATTTTCTCATGTATATGTAAATATTGCAGCCGTGAAAAACTCTTTCCACACACAGAACATGAATGCGGCTTCTCCTTCGTATGAACTGTCAGGTGTCTCTTCAGGTTTGATGCACAGAGAAATGTCTGTCCACACTGATCACATGTGAACGGCTTCTCTCCTGTGTGGATCCTCATGTGATCATTAAGGTGTGAAGATCGACTGAATCTCTTGCCGCACTGATCACATGTGAACGGCTTCTCTCCAGTGTGGATCCTCATGTGAACATCAAGACTAGCTTTGCTTCTGAAACTGTTTCCACACTGAGTGCAGGTGAAAGATTTCTTGGCTCGTCTTTTCTTTAAAAATTTCTTTTTAGTCTTTGAGCGACTCAAGGGTTTTCCTCCAGGTTTGACATGATGTTCCTCCTCCACTTCACTCAGTTCTTCTCTCTCCTCCTTCACTTCACTCAGTTCTTCTCTCTCCTCCTCCACTTCACTCAGTTCTTCTCTCTCCTCCTTCACTTCACTCAGTTCTTCTCTCTCCTCCTCCACTTCACTCAGTTCTTCTCTCTCCTCCTCCACTTCACTCAGTTCTTCTCTCTCCTCCTCCACTTCACTCAGTTCTTCTCTCTCCTCCTTCACTTCACTCAGTTCTTCTCTCTCCTCCTTCACTTCACTCAGTTCTTCTCTCTCCTCCTTCACTTCACTCAGTTCTTCTCTCTCCTCCTTCACTTCACTCAGTTCTTCTCTCTCCTCCTTCACTTCACTCAGTTCTTCTCTCTCCTCCTCCACTTCACTCAGTTCTTCTCTCTCCTCCTTCACTTCACTCAGTTCTTCTCTCTCCTCCTTCACTTCACTCAGTTCTTCTCTCTCCTCCTCCACTTCACTCAGTTCTTCTCTCTCCTCCTCCACTTCACTCAGTTCTTCTCTCTTCTCCTCCACTTCACTCAGTTCTTCTCTCTCCTCCTCCACTTCACTCAGTTCTTCTCTCTTCTCCTCCACTTCACTCAGTTCTTCTCTCTCCTCCTCCACTTCACTCAGTTCTTCTCTCTTCTCCTCCACTTCACTCAGTTCTTCTCTCGCCTCACTTTCTTCCATCAGGTCTGAAATGAAAGGAAAAAATATTACATTTAATTTTCAGTACATCAAAATAATTCAAAGAGAGAAATATAAAGTGAAAGGACATGAAAATGAACCCTGATGTAATAGTAGAAAGTAGACAACTGCTATAAAATATTATGTCCTTTAACAAGATATGGAAGCTTGTTTCCGCCACTGAATAAAAAAAAAAATAGCAACTTTTTATCTCACACTTGCGATATGAATTCAGAATTGTGAGATATAAACTCGCAATTGCGAGTTATCAGGCCAATTCTAAGGGGAAAAAAGTACTTAAAAAAAAAAGTAACTTTTTTCCCCCTCAGAATAGTTTTTATCTCACAATTCTGACTTTATATCACGCAATTGCTACTTTATATCACGCAATTACGACTTTATATCACGCAATTCTGAGAAATAAGTCAGAATTGCGAGATGTAAACTCGCAATTGTGAGATAAAAAGTCGCAATTACCTTTTTTATTTATCATTCTGTGGCGGAAACAAGCTTCCATGAAAGAGGTAAATTTATCTTCCAATTATTATTTTTAAAACATTATAGGCACGAATCCCATGTTTGTTTAGCAAGAACTATTAATTTGATCAATGACATAATTACCTAACATGATATTAACATTAAAATATACAATACTGTCATGCCATTTGACACCAACATTTAGATTGATATTCATTTTACTAAAACGGTTTAATTATTAATGGCCGTTCACACTAGACTTTTCCTTCATGGACGGCTCTACGAAGGAGCTCTTTCTACTGCATGATGGGAAGAAAAGAGAATAATCTCAATCCATTGTCTCAGTTTTTACACAAACTGTAGCATTGACTGTATTCATCAACCCTGTTACCAAAGTTACTGTAAGAAGAATCTCTATAAATATGAATAACTTATATTATATTTGACAAATACAACTTTATCAGTAACTTTTACATAATTTACTGATTATTCCTAAAAATATATTTTTCAACTATGTTGAAAATGACTAATATTCTGGTAACGTTGTTGCAAATTGGGAACCAGATATAAAATAAAAGAGTTAAAATAGTATTTAGTTTGATCTGATGTTGACGTATCATTCTGTACCATTTCATAGTTGAACTGTTTATCTAAATGTGATGAAGTGCTTGAATGTTTCTAACATGAATGTTCTCCAGCATCATGAATGAAGAATAAACACCAACCTCTTTGTTCTTCAGGATCTTCAGTGTGTTTCATTCTGCAGGTTCTGGATCACTCGTGTTCTCACTGTCCTCTTTAATAAACTCAGTCTTGGCAGATTTCAGCTCTTCCTGAAGCTTTAATGCTCGTCTTCACTTGTAGCTGATGGGAATTTACAGCATTTATTGGAGAATTACTGTGGGAGGAGCTTCACTGATGATGTGATTGCAGTGGGAGGAGCTTCACTGATGACGTGCTTGCAGTGGGAGGAGCTTCACTGATGATGTGATTGCAGTAGGAGGAGCTTCACTGATGATGTTATTTCAGTAGGAGGAGCTTCACTGATGATGTGATTGCAGTGGGAGGAGCTTCACTGATGATGTAGTTATAGTGGGAGGAGCTTCACTGATGATGTGATTGCAGTGGGAGGAGCTTCACTGATGATGTATTCCAGCGTTGGAGGAGCTGATCAGCCAAAATCAAAAATATAAATTTCTGAGTTTTGTTTTTATAAGAAATGACGTTCTAAGCATTTATGTCTATCTATTCATCGTACAGTAACTGATGCCAATTTATCATTATTTTTATTGCTAATCCTAACATTATTCTGCTTCTTCATGAAAATGCAGGTATCTAGAAACATAGAAAAGAATATAAATAATTTAAAATATTCCAAATATAAATAATGGTAAGAAAAACAGTTAACATCGTAAACAGAAATAAACGTACATATGGTAGCCAACAAGTATCCCCTCAGTCTGCTGACACCAATGAAATGAGCTTTAAGTGTCAATTTACAGGCTATTGTCATGAAATAAAGAGTGTTTTCAGCAGATCTGTTAATATTGATGATCCTCAGACTATCAACACGCAACACGCATTCAACAAGACATTCAGGATCATCAGCAGATCATCTCACTTTATTCTGAGTGTTTGCTGTTAGAAACACATTATTTGAGTCAGGATATAAAACTACTGCTATAATGAAAGGCAATACTGTGTTATTTCTCACAATATGACATGGATAAAACATAAATAATACAAAAACAATCACTGATGACACTCATCTTCATAAACCATAGAGATAAATAATTACAGCAGCATAATATGACCAAATTAATCTAAATAGCCTATAGCTAGTTTGATCTTATGATAGCTACATTAATCACTATAAAGTAGTTAGATCATTCAAATAATAACAGAAACTGTTAATTATCATAAAACTTTTAAAAATAAAGAGCACTATTGTTCCAAGAGTAAAACGCTTTTCATTGTAGTATTGATTAATGTCTCACGTGGCTCATCATAGGCTCAATGTAAAGCATTTAGCATTATCTGTTCCAGTATGACACTTGAGATCGATTCACATTAATTCCCCTCACAGATCTTAAACTTTGACTTGACGAAACAATCACACAAACGAAAACACACAATCGCTCAGGACTGAATGAACTCCACATATTCTCCTCAGGCTCGCTGCTGCTGCACTAAATGTGTATTTCAGGAGGAAGACGCCAGAAAAGACGCACAAGTATCGCTGTGATCGATGAAAACAATACAGAAATGAGCCTGTCGCTTAATCAAACTGTATAAAGTGTGTGTGATGGTTGTGTAAAGATGAGAAATACCGTGAACTGCTCTCCTCGCCTCAAAAGACTCGACGCTGCTGAAACTCCCTCGCTGCACGATGACGTAGCTGGATGGTCCAATACTATTGGATGGAGGTGTGTTTTGGTGACGTTATTTTTCGCATGCGCAGTACCGATCTCTGGCTATAATTTGCATGCGCGGCATGTATGCTCAATATTGTACTGAGATGATTTTCTAACCTGTGTAGTAGTAGGCTACTGTTAAATAGTTATAAGTAATTATTGATGAATAAGTAATTATTTACATAAATGGGATGCTTAAGTTATCCAAGTTTCACTCTACATACCGGTAGGCTACATGCAAAATAGTTTATTTTACAACATTTTAAATCACATGATTTTTAAACCTAAATTTGATAGATTAATAGCATGTCCTCACCGCAAGTATTTGTTTTTTAATGTGTGTATATAGAGCATTTTAAAATAAAGCCATTTTATTTTATTCAGGTCATATGCTGTTTTAAAAAAATATATATTTTTATTTTATTTATTTAAACATTAGTCACAATATAGAACTAATAAACAGGGAAAAAAAACAGGAAAAAAAAGAAAAAAAAAAAGCCACAAGACAGGGAACAAAAAAAAAGTACATATCAAAGGAAAAGATAAAAAGACTTACATATTTCAGTTGTTTTTAAAGCCTTCTTGTTACACGAGTCAGAGACAGTCCAAAAGTAATGTTGTATTTCAATAAGCAAAACATAGAAAAGTGGTTTCTGACCTGAGAGTTTACATTTATGTATATAGAATTGTGTCAACAAAAAAAGATTAAGAAGGAATATTTTCAATAAAATTAAAAAATTTTAAACCACCAAATTTGGAGAAAATATTAGGAGGTTGGATTTTTGAGAAAGTGTTTGGCCCAATTCATTTTAAGAGTATTAATGAATGTACAAAAGTCTCACCATCTAAATAAGAATTTAAAACAACAGATTTCTTAATATGCCATTTTTCCATATGAAATTAAATAACATTGTCAATACGTTTGATAATGTTGTTATCCACATGGAGTGACTGAGCAGCGAATGAACATCTGGAGACGCCTTCCCCTTTGGCGAGTAATATTCTTCCCTCAGAGAAACATCTCTCTCCAGCCATAAAATACATTTACTGTTTTCTCCATAATAGGGGAAACATTACATACACATGTATCAATTACATTTTTACATATAGAGATACCTATAAGATATCTATGGAAGCTTGTTTCCGCCACTGAATAAAAAAAATGAAAATTGCGACTTTTTATCTCACAATTGCGAGATATGAAGTCAGAATTTCGAGATATAAACCCGCAATTATGTGTTATAAAGTCAGAATTGCAAGATGTAAACTCGCAATTGTGAGAAAAAAGTCAGAATTGCGAGAAATAAAGTCGCAATTGTGAGAAATAGTCGCAATTGCGAGATATAAAGTCGCAATTCTGAGAAATAAAGTTGCAATTGCGAGGAAAAAAAGACAGAATTGTGACTTTATATCTCACAATTGCGACTATTTCTCAGAATTGCGACTTTATATCTCGCAATTGCGACTTTCTCACAATTGCGACTTTATATCTCACAATTCTGACTTTTTTTCTCACAATTGCGAGTTTACATCTCGCAATTCTGACTTTATAACACATAATTGCGGGTTTATATCTCGAAATTCTGACATCTTTTCTCAGAATTGTGAGATATAAACTCAGAATTGGCCTGATAACTCGCAATTGCAAGGGGGGAAAAGACTAACTTTTTTCCCCTCAGAATAGTTTATATCTCACAATTCTGACTTTACAACATGCAATTTCGACTTTACAACACGCAATTGCGACTTTATATCTCGCAATTCTGACTTTATAACACGCAATTTCGACTTTACAACACGCAATTGCGACTTTATATCACACAATTCTGACTTTATAACACGCAATTCTGACTTTATAACACGCAATTGTGACTTTACAACATGCAATTGCGACTTTATATCACACAATTCTGACTTTATATCTCGCAATTCTGACTTTATAACACGCAATTTCGACTTTACAACACGCAATTGCGACTTTATATCACACAATTCTGACTTTATATCTCGCAATTCTGACTTTATATCAATAAATTCTGACTTCATATCTCGCAATTCTGACTTTATATCACGCAATTCTGACTTTATATCTCGCAATTCTGACTTTATAACACGCAATTGCGATTTTATAACACGCAATTGCGATTTTATATCACGCAATTCTGACTTTATATCTCGCAGTTCTGAGAAATAAAGTCAAAATTGCGAGATGTAAACTTGCAATTGTGAGGAAAAAAGTCGCAATTACCTTTTTATTTTTCATTCTGTGGCGGAAACAAACTTCAATAGACATCTTATCTTTAATTGGAATATTATTAATTATAGTTAGATTACAATCTTTAATTGAAAGTAGTTCACATTTAGACAGATTCAAGAAAAAAGACCAGAAGCTTTGGAGAATCTCTCCACAGTGCAGATTGCAATGGGTACCCAAGAGGCGTCTCTTAAAGGGGCGGTAAAGTATGATTTCACTTTTCTAATTTTAGTTAGTGTGTAATGTTGCTGTTTGAGCATAAACAACATTATCTAAGTTACAAACGCTCAAAGTTAAAAGCAAAGGAAGATATTTGCTTTTAAAGAAAAGGACTACAACAAACGGCTGGTAGAACTACACGACATTCCTCCAGGGTTAGTGACATCACCAACCCTAAAATGTACATAAGCCCCGCCCCCGGGAACACCAGGCCATGTGGAGAAGAGGCAGAGTGGTTGTAGTCGAGCACATTTGTGAGTCAGCTCAAACTTTAGCGTCCATCTTTTCACATGCAATAGAAAGTCACTCTGTGTGCATCTCACAACAGTTCCTATACGAGTGATTTATAGATTACATGACAGAATATCCTAATTGAAGATAGTTAACTCCACATCAGCAACATAAATTCATCAATTACGACTTTACAACACGCAATTTCGACTTTATATCTGGCAATTACGACTTTATATTTCGCAATTATGACTTTATATCACGCAATTGCGACTTTATATCACGCAATTACGACTTTACGCAATTACGACTTTATATCACGCAATTACGACTTTACGCAATTACGACTTTATATCACGCAATTACGACTTTACGCAATTACGACTTTATATCACGCAATTACGACTTTACGCAATTACGACTTTATATCACGCAATTACGACTTCACGCAATTACGACTTTATATCACGCAATTACGACTTTATATCACGCAATTACGACTTTACAACACGCAATTTCTACTTTATATCTCGCAATTCTGACTTTATATCACGCAATTACGACTTTATATCACGCAATTACGACTTTATTTCACGCAATTACGACTTTATATCAAGCAATTGCGACTTTATTTCACGCAATTACGACTTCACGCAATTACGACTTTATATCACGCAATTACGACTTTATATCACGCAATTACGACTTTACAACACGCAATTTCTACTTTATATCTCGCAATTCTGACTTTATATCACGCAATTACGACTTTATATCACGCAATTACGACTTTATTTCACGCAATTACGACTTCACGCAATTACGACTTTATATCACGCAATTACGACTTTATA